TTTTTCCTTTATTACCCTTTTCAAGAGGAGACAATTACCTCTGACGGTTCTTCACGGAAACTAAAAGCGTTCTCCACATATCCGCTGTCAGGAACCCTGAAGAGCTCCCTGATGAACCGCTCCTCTCTGAGTGTACGTTTCCAACACACGCCCTCTCGCCTTGACGACACCTATTATTACTACGCCACATCTAATTACACAGATAATTTACAAGTGATACACAGCCCCTTCAAAACAATAATATCCTAAATACTCCACATTGTGCGTCTTTGTTAATGCACTGAAATCAACGCATGACATCGTCTCACAATACTGAGAATGAGTCGCTGGCTGTTCGGTTTCAATCAGTGGAGACGACAGAAACTAAATCACTGACGAACCGAAGAAAATCGTCTTCTTGGTTTAAGGTATTTTATTTATTTTTCTTTCTATTCACCTTCGTCTGAATATATCCACCTTTGAAAATACTCGGTAACCTAACGATGAAGCTTTAATTTACAAACCTTATCACATTTTGAGGATCAGAGTAAATGTGTTGCTGACCATCATCATGTAACTGAATATATTTAACCACTGCCATCACATCCAATGCCAAAGACCATATTTAACGTCATTAATTGTATTAAAACCTTTTATTATCAATCACTTAAGTGTGAATTTATCAAACCATCATGTTAAACATTGTCTGTTATCAGCTGAAATGTCTTTATCCTTTAAATGTGACTGTATTTTACATTTGAACTCGTTTGAACAGGAGAAAAAGAAGCCAGAGACACCTTGTTGGATTCTGGGAAATTACTTTGGCTATTTTATCAATATTTATATGAGCATAATGAAATTAATTGTTGGCTACAACTTCACGTCCCCTCTCTTTTTCTTTTCGTCCTCTCCTTTCTCTCTTCTTCATTTAAACATTCTGAGCACAAAGATCCACACCCAGCAGGGAGAGACAGGGGGACGACCTTGGCACCACACCCAGCTGAGGTGAGGGGCTCCTGGGGTAGAGAGGGAGACAGGGCGGGGGCTAGTCTCCACGGAGGAGAAGTGGTGAAGAGCGTGAGATGGAGGAAAAGAGGACGGGAAAAAGGAGAAATGAGGTAAAAGAGGGGGAGAGAGGAGGAAGTGATGAAGGAGGATGAGGAGAGAATATGATGTGATATATCAACATTCGAACACTAGAGAGAGAGACAGAGAGGAAAAGATGGAAAGAGGGAGGGAAAGAGAGAGAGAGAGACAGATATGTATTTCTATATAAAGTGTCCAGATGTGACCTCCTCAGAGGGGGTCCGGCCTCGTGGCTCAACACTCATTAATAAGGTCACACAGAGGTGAGACAGACGGCTGACTCACTGCATTTCAACAAAAACAACAGGACCAGGAGGAGGAGGAGGAGGAGCAGATCCTCAGGTTCACACCAGTTTTATATAAACTCTGCTTTTACTCAATCAAACGTTCTGACATGAACCAACTGCACCAAACAGATTTCACTCAGGTCTCATGTCGTTGTTTTAATTACCTCTCTGTCTAATGTCACTCGTTGTCATCAACACCTACTTCTTTGTATTTGTTCTTATTTGTCCATGTTTTCATTTGTCGCAGAGTTTTGTCCTTGACAAGATAATTATTTATGCTGAGGTATTTTGTCCAGCGCCATGTTGGTGTTTTGAAACCAGAAGTAAGCATATTCGGACGAGCGGGGGGGGGGGTGGAGCCTGACCTAGAGATCAAGGACACCTCCTCCGATTGGACGGCACTAGCTGTCAATCACGAAGTGTCCAAACCAATGAACATCTGTATTGAAGAAGAAGAAAATGTTTGCTGACGTTACAAAGTGAGAAGTCGAGTCATTTTCTCATGGACTTCTATAGAAACAACCAATGGAGTCGCCCTCTGCTGGTAAATTGAGAGAATGCAGGCAACAGGCACCTCTGCACTGGCTTCACTTTCCGGCCGTGAAGTCCACATACACGGTCATGTACGCTATATGCTGCAAGCTAGTATCTGCTGCAGGGGGGAGCAAACTGGCAACAAGCTGTGTTAGCCTTAGCTAAGCTAACAGGGGCATTCTGCTACTTCGCTAACTTGCTAACAGCTTAAGGTTTCTGAGCGGAACTCTTACATTCATCACAACTTCACATCGAGGCGACCATAAGACTGCACGCACACGACTGTGACGTCCAAACTGTGACAAACACATTTCCCGTTACAACTCTAATTATAAACCAAAACCTACGCGAGTGACGCACCAATGTTGCTGAGGGGAACAGATCGTCTTCTCTTCGTCACGTAGAACAAACTGTGGAAGTTGTTGGAATGAAGCTGAGAGTGAAGCCGTATCAGATTGTTTATTTATAACAGAAGAGAATTTGCTTACAGCTCCAAACCACCGGGCCTCATTTACTATGTAGGTGACAGTTAGAGTGGGGGGGCACCGGGGTGCTGCACCTGCAGGTTTCACCGTAGAACCGCACATACATGACAGATAGAATCACACAGTGTGATTGAACGGCAATGTTTGCACACACTCACACAAAAAACAAACACACACACACAAACGTATCATCATACATACACAACACATCACATACACACATTCAAAAAAGAAAAAGTTGACATATACATGCGACACATATTCACCCATAAAAAAATGAGACTAAATGATGCACACTCACACAAGAACCCACACACACACACACACACACTCACACACACACCCAGATAACCACATTTAAGGGAGTAACAGTGAACATACACTCATTTACACAACAGATGCAACACACGCAACCACACACACACACGGAAGAGCAGGTATCAAGAAGATGGTCACTCACATAAAAACACACACATAATCACACACACACACACACACACACACACAGATATACATGTATCATCACACACTCAGACACAGTAAACTCCCAACATGCACAGAGACACACACACTCCGCTGCAAACCCACAAAAACATTCATCTATCAAATGTGTGCACTTATATAAACCTATATGTGAGTACAAGTGCCCATTTACACACATTTACACATGAAGCACACACACATGAATTCTGGGTCACTGTGGGTTTTTCAGTGTGTGTGTGTGTGTGTGTGTGTGTGTGGCAGCAGATTAATCTAGTGGGGTCGCTGAGATGACACTAATCCCTCCGCTGATTATCTAGAGCATAACATCACTCTAATCCGAGGTAGGGGGGGTGGGGGGTTAAGGAAGACAGACAAGGTTAGAGAGAGAGCGAGAGAGTGAGAGAGAGAGAGAGAGAGGCTGCGTTCACACTCTACACGTTCAGACTGATTTCATCAAACTCTACGATTTTTGTTCTTCCCTCACTTCCGAGTTCACTTCAGGTGAGAACTGGATGTCCGAGCCCGAGAGTAATCTGAGCCATCGGCAGTAATTCACCACAAAATGCAAGGGATTATGGGTAGACAAATGAAAGCTCCTTGGGCTGTAGTGTCACAGATCAGAATAAAAGTCCAGGATGATCCCGTTCCCGTTGATTGGCTGACCAATCACAGTTAAGCAATAAAGAATGTGGATGTCTTCTTCACCCGACCAGCTCCACAATTCATGTTGCTGCACAAGTTAGTTTGGTTCATGTCCCATCTGCTAACACGGAGGAGGCTGGGTTTGAGAACTATACTGCAGGAATCCACCAGGGAGCGATCAAGATGATAACGTCACATTTTCAATTAGAACTTGTGCACAAAGAAAGAAAGAGAGAAAACGTGCATCAGATATAAAAGAGAATCTGAGATATTACTCAGTTCAACCAACAGTCACAGGTACAAGTGTGTGTGTGTGTGTGTGTGTGTGTGTGTGTGTGTGTGTTCCACATCCCTGGCTGTCTCTGTCTCTTAGCGTTATCATTATAAAAGTAAATTGCGGCTCCCATGTGCCAGATGAAGAATACAGTATTTCCATCTCTGACTGTGCGTCGTCTCTTCCCTCTCTGCCTCTGCAGCGACACGCAATAATCACAACTCTGTCACAACACATCACGCACACAATGCATCATCCCGACCCACAACTCTGAGGAATCTGACATTTCTTTTGTTTTACCTTTGTGCTTTGTTCTGGGTGTGGATTCACAACTACCTGGATAATTTCCAGAATTAGTTCATTGACAGTAACTAAATCCACAGAGTGACGTTGTCAGCAGGACCACGTGAAAACTACAAAACACATTTTCATGAAACTTGGTAACAGGATGGGACACAGGCCAAGAAAGAACTCCTTCGAGTTCGGTGCAGATCCGGCAAATTGTTTTATACATTTTCACTCTCCAGAAAATAATTCAAGGATATTTCAGGAAGTGATGTTTATGAGTGTGTGTCATTTGGTGCAGATTGAATCTAAGAGACTGTCGGGCCTTGAATTCATCCACCTGAGACAACTTAGTGTTTCTGCTCCATCCGACACCTGGACTACAACAGACCGAGAGCAGAGGCGTTACACCTCACGGCAGTGAGGGGGCGCTCTTTTCAGGGGAGAGCAGCAACCAAATAAAATGTCTGAGCACATGTCTGGTGATTGACCGTTATGAAAGAGAGAGAGCAGGTAGAGTCAGAGCGCTGAGAGCTGACATCCTCCATATTTGATGCATCCAGTCAAAGGTAATTAAGCTCTGTGTGTGTGTGTGTGTGTGTGTGTGTGTGTGTGTGTGTGATTATATGTCTGTGTAACTACGTGCATGAGTGTGAGTGTGTGTGTGTGTGAGAGGAGAAGATTATCTGTGTCAGTAGCCATTTGCTCACAACTGGCGCCACATCGGAGAGAGCCAGAGGCAGAGAGCATCATGGGTAAATGAGCACACGCTGCCTGGCGCTCTCCACACAGCGGCCAGAGAAAGAGAGATAGTGTGAGAGAGAGAGAGAGAGAGAGAGAGAGAGAAATTGCATGCCAGATGACCAGTCTCCTCCATTGTAAGCTAGTGTTCCACTAATGCTCTGCAGACACACACACACACACACAGAAGGAGGTGCACTGTACCTGTTAGCCTGGAGTTGGTGTACGGAGGTGAGAGGCTGTCATGTGATGCCATGTACTGAGACCCTTCTGCATAACTCTGGAGACACACACACACACAAGGTGAAGAATCAGAATCAGTGATTGGATGTTTCCGGGAGCAGAGAAACGTCTTCGTGACCTGAGACTTTTAACGCTACAACCTCAACTTTATGTTTCTTTCTTTACCAAGACTATCTGTACATGTAAGTTATAACAACATTATATCTATCTATCTATATATATATATATACATACAACACTTTCTTAGGCGGCCTCTAGTGGTTGAAGAAGGTATGACAGAGGCAAAGGTGGAAGTCGGGTGAATTTATTTTAGAATATTTCCAGTTTTTTCCACATTGTTTATTGAAACTGACTTTGTTTATATTTAAACTGCATATGCATAATGAATAATGAACAAACACATTTCAGGGCTAACATCTCAAAAACAATGATTTGTGATAAAACTGTGTTCACAGTGAATTGGGCGTGTCTGTATTTGTTACTTGAACTGTGTCAGACACTTTTTTAACCTACCCAGGGACGACAGATGTAAATTAGCATTCTCGCAAACCCTGGAATATTTACATTTTGTTTTTTTATGCTAATGTTTATTAATGTGCTCCGTCCCTGTCACATAGAGAAAATGAGATCAATTAAATGCAACACACATTAGGTATTGATTGAAATCTGACAGAAGGACACATTGGAAAAAGTTTCTCCTCGAAGAGTAAGTGAGCTGCTGTTAAACTGCTGCAGGTCAGAGAGTTTATAACAAACAGTCCTGGTCATACTAGAAAATAAAGCAGGAGTTTTATTAAAGTGTGATGGTCGTTGTTACCTTGGAAGAACGACTTCCACTCGCCCACGATCCTGCACTCGTCCTCTCCTCCATATCTGTGGAGTGAGAGAGATTAATATAAATGAGATGAAACACACATCAGAACAGTGATGAACGTTTAAAGTTAGAAGAGTATAAAAAAATAAATAAACTTCATGTGATGAAGGAAGTTTTAAAGATTGAAAGAAAAATACGTAGAGAGGAAACAGAAAGTGGAAAATGCATTTTCAGCTAAAAATACAGTGCGACTGCTGAGTTGCAGGAAATGTTTTGCAGAGTCAAGCTGAAAATGCATCAAAAGCATGTGATGATGTCACCAGGTCCTCGCTTCATGTCACTGCTGCACAAGCCGCCCAAAGACACTCGTTACAAAATCTAAACATTGCAGAAAAAGGGGAATATTTTTTAAAAAACGCGAAGAGTTGGAGAAATGTTCTGGACAGGTCGCCGATATAGAGACAGACAACCATTCACACTTATGGACAATTTGAAGTCTCCAGTCAATCTAAGCTCAGTCTGCATGTGTTTGAACTGTGGGAGGAAGCTGGAGTATGCGGAGAAAACCAACGTGGGAAAACATGCGAACTGCACACAGACAGACACACACACCGGGATTTGAACCCGGAACCTTCTTGCTACGAGGAGACACGCGGAGGAGGTCGAGACATCAACAGACAGAGAGAAGGAGATCTGTGTTTTGTGCATGACAGGTGGATCAGTTCATTCAGGTTGAATGAAATGTGCAAACGCAGCTATCGCTTACACACACACACACACACACACACACACACACATACATTCAGTCGTCTCATGCATTGTAATGCACAAATCTCTATTCAATAGGCTCTCCATTGTGTCTGTGTGTGTATAGCGAGCAGCTTACATTCATTGTCGAGTCATTTGGAATGTCAGCTTATCTTTGTGTGTTAGCGTGTGTGTGTGTGTGTGTGTGTCTGTGTGTGTGTGAGTGTGTGTAACATAAATGAACAGTTTCAGTTACAAAAAGCAAATCTTAAAGTACCTCTGGGCTACCTATTTGTGGAACGGACTAAAAGAGAAAACAATAGCATTGATGCGGGTTTAGTGAAGATTACACACAAACACTTTATGGTAAATTGGATTTCAGGAGCATGGTTTTAAAAAGAAGACACATATTCAACAGTTGTTTCTGTTGAGGACGTTCAGTGAGCAGGTGGAGTTTATCACATCTTTTTAGATGAAATGATTTGATAAACATGATACTGGTCATTCGAAAAGAGAATAAAGGGAAACTGCATTAAAAGTAGAAGAGGAGAATTGGATGAAAGTCGGTCCAGATGAAGGAGAAGTGGACGTGCCAGAGGGAGAAAGAGGACGAGGAGGACGGCAATTAAAGGAAGAATCCTTCGGTGTTGAAAAGTAAGAGGAGGGGAGAGATGGAGGAGAGACGGAGGAGAGAAAAATACAAGTGGGTGAGCGAGAGCTTTAAGATGTGGAGGAGGGAGAGAGAAGGAGGACAGAAGGAGGTGTCCATGTGTCCTGCACCTGATAAGGCCTCCGATTGAGGGCTATAAATTACACCAGAGAGAGAGAGAGAGAGAGAGAGAGAG